TACGAAATCTAGTGTCCATTCTCTTCTGTTTAATTTATATAAATTTCGCAATAAAAAAATGTTATCAGGATTTTTAAAAATTTAGTTATAATCAATAAAATTGCTGCAAAGTAAAGTTTTCAAAAATTTGTGTTAGAGGGTGTCGTCGACAAGACCACATTAAAATGGTAATTTTCCTTTGCATTTAAAGCAAATTAAAATTTAAATCTATGCAAAAAACTATGATTCTCAAACTTATGATCAATTAACTTAAATAAGATATGTACTTAATGATAAAAATCATGATTTTTTTTTCAATTGGTATATACAATTTTTTTATAAAAATTAATAAAACAGTTATCAAAACCCACTATTTTACTAAATAGGATAGTATCAGTCTCTCTGGTTAAGGCTATGAACTTAATTATTGAAACACTTTTGAACTTTTATATATGAACAAACTATGAATAACTGTGTTTTTATAAAAATCTGTGAAATTGATAACCAATTATATTTTTATTAACCCAGCAATTATTTTAATGTAGATTTGCAATGGACCTATATAAGCATTTTGAGCACTTAATTAGAGTTTTGCTCATAGGTTTTTTAAGGGATTCGCTAAAAGTGGCTAGCCAATAACTCTTCAACATGTAATATAAAAGCTAGTTGTTGGCTAGCCATTATGGCGACTGCCAATTGTGGTCCACTATGTAACCAATGAGCCTTTTCACAGTAGAAAAAAAGCGGGAAACTCTTAAAATGCCTATAAAAGTCTACTAAAATTCCGCTGTAAAATTTTTGCTGGAAAGATTGTTTAAAACAACAGTTTGCTGAGTGTATTTTTTTCATAAAGTCAAAATTAGTTTAAAAATACTTGAAAAATTTATTACTTTGATTTAAAGAAAGATGTAGGAAGATTGTTGTAAAGTTTTTATTTTAAAATAATCAAAAATAGTGTTATTTGTATATTCAAAATGAGCGCATTTGTTAACTATAACTACGTTTTATTAAAAGCTTTATTTATTTATTTAAAATTTATTTAAATAAACGTTCAATATATAATTTTATATTCTGTAATAAAAAGTTTCCCCTGTTTTAATTTATTGTCCGTTTCATTCCCCTGAAAGTCCTATAACATGCCTCTGAGACTTTGAATAATTTCCGTTCGATTTTACAATTAGTAATTGCATCAATTTTATTTTTTGGATGAAAAAAGAGTAAATAAGTTTTATCTTAAAGTAGTAACTTAAAAATGATTGCAAAACAGACCCTTCAAATTCATTTATAAGCGAAAACCAGAAAGTTCGGTAATGCAACCTGAGTAGTTTCGGTAATGCAACGCCTCACAGTTAAAACCAAATTTCGAAAAAATCTTTTTCGTTTTAAAAGCAAAGTTTATACTTTTTAGACATTCGATTTAGTAAATATTATATCCAGCAGAAAAAATTTTCTTAAAAATGCATATAAAAAAAATTTTGTTAAACGTTTTTTTTTTGAAAACCCAAGTACGAGATTTGTTAACTAATATATTATATAAAGTTTACTTGAACTCAGAAACATAAAAACGCCACGATGATATGAAAAATGTCAAAATTTAGAAATGTGGATTTCTTTAGTTTATAGCTTGATTTGAAGAAAATGAATAAAAAAAACATACCCGAATGTCATTTTTATGATCCTCATGCATAAACCCTCTTTTTCGATGCATTCGGTAATGCAACGCATTTTTTAGAACGGCTCTTATATTTAAAGTTTTTGCTCAAATTTTTTTTTCAAAAATAACATATCTAAAAAGTTTAGAACTTTCTTATTGGTAATACTGAAAAAAAATTTAAAAAATACTGAGCGGCACGGCAATAATCTAAAATCCTGTGAGCTGTAATAAAATATCACATCCGCCTAAAATATTACATCCCCCATAGAAAAAATGAAAACGAGAACGCGCTTTCGAGTCATTGCACTTAGAATGCACTTAGAAGTGTATCAAATACGTCCGAAACATTCAATTATAAACAATATAATTAATAAAAACGTTTTTTTGCTAATATACTATAAATGAAGTTAGCATAAAATGGTAGTATATTTTAAATTCTTATTTATAATATTTTGATCGGTATGTATTGTGTGACAATAGCGTAGAAGCAGATTACACATTAGGGATACTTTATGTAATAAAAATAACAATCGTTTGCAATATTTTAGAAGCCTGCATAGGGGGGATGTGATATTTTAAGCAAGAATTCTAGTTTGTTTTTGTGACATATACAGAAATAACAAGTGGTGGATGTTATATTCTATATACCAAATACTAATTGTTTAAAATACTTTATAAACTACTAAGGGGGATGTAATATTTTAGAAGTAGACATCGGGGGGGGGATGTTATATTTTAAGTAAGAATTTCAGTTTCTTTTTGTGACATATACAGTGAATAAACCGAGGGGATGTGATGATCTAGATACCTAATACTAATCGTTTGAAATATTGTATGAATTACTTAGGGGGATGTAATACTTTAAAGGTAAACATAGAGGGGATGTAATATTTTAAGTAAGAATTTCAGTTTCTTTTTGTGGTGCATACAGAATTTACAAGTGATAAATCTTATATTTTAAACACTAAATACTAACCATTTGAAATGTTTTATGAATTACTTAGGGGGATGTAATATTTTAGAGATAAACATAGGGGGGATGTGATATTTTAAGTAAAGATTTAAAGTTTCTTTTTGTGACATATACAGTGAATAAACCGAGGAGATGTGATATTCTAGATATCAATTACTAATTGTTTGAAATATTGTATGAATTACTTAGGGGGATGTAATAATTTAAAGGTAAACATAGCGGGGATGTGATATTTTTGATAGCAAATATTAATTGTTTGAAATATTGTATGAAATACTTTAGGGGATGTAATATTTTAAAGGTAAACTTAGAAGGGATGTAATACTTTTAGTAAGAATTTCAGTTTCTTTTTGTGACATATATAGCAAATAAACCGAGGGGATGTGATATTCTAGATACTAAATTCTAATCGTTTGAAATATTGTATGAATTACTTATGGGATGTATTACTTCAAAGGTAAACATAGAGGGGATATGACATTTTAAGTAAGAATTTAAGTTTCTTTTTGTGGTACTTACAGAACTTACAAGTGATGGATGTGATATTCTAGGTACCAAATACCAATCGTTTGAAATATTGTATAAATTATTTAGGGGGATGTAATATTTTAGAAGTATTCATTAGGGGGGATGTGATATTTTAAGTAAGAAGTTCAGTTTCTTTTTGTGACATATACATAGAATCTACAGGGGGATGTGATATTCTAGGTATCAAATACTAATCAATTGAAATATTGTATGAATTACTTAGGGGGATGTAATATTTTAAAAGTATACATAGGGGGGATGTGATATTTTAAGTAAGAACTTCAGTTTCTTTTTGTGGTACATACAGAACTTACAAGTGATGGATGTGAAATTCTTGGTACCAAATAGCAATCGTTTGAAATATTGTATGAATTACTTTGGGGGATATAATATTTTAGAAGTATACGTAGGGGGGATGTGATATTTTAAGTAAGAAGTTCAGTTTCTTTTTGTGACATATACATAAAATCTATAGGGGGATGTGATATTCTAGGTATCAAATACTAATCAATTGAAATATTGTATGAATTACTTAGGGGGATGTAATATTTTAAGGGTAAACATAGAGGGGATGTGATATTTTAAATAGAAAATATTAATTGTTTGAAATATTGTATAAATTACTTAGGGGAATGTAATATTTTAAAGGTAAACATAGAGGGGATGTGATGTTTTAAGTAAGAATTTCAGTTTCTTTTTGTGACATATGCAGAGATTCCACAAGGTAGATGTGATATTTTAAATACCAAATATGAATTGCTTGAAATATTGTAAAAAAGTACTTAGGGGGATCTAATATTTTAGAAGTATACATAGGGGGAATGTGATATTTTAAGTAAGAATTTTAGTTTCTTTTTGTGGTACAAACATAATTTCCAATTGATGATGTGATATTCAAGATAGCATTTACTACTCATTTGAAAAATTTTATGAATTACTTAGGGGATGTAATATTTTATGTATATCTACATAGGGGGAATGTGATATTGGGGAATATTTTAGAAGCCTGCATAGGGAGATTTGATATTTTAATTTAGAATTTTAGCTGTTATTTTCAAAATGTGCAGAGTTTACTCAAACAGTCTTTTTTAATTTTTTTTTTCAGATTTAATTGAGCTAACAAGTTAAAAATGTATTATTGTTCAATCAATTCATATGTATGCCAACATATAAATTTACACAAAATAATATGTATGCCGACATGTAATCTATGCCGAATGTAAAATATGCCGAAATATGTAAAATATGCCGAATATGTATGCCAATGATTTACACAAAATAATATGTATGGCGACATATGAATTGGCAGAATTATGAAGGCTTCCGACAATTTAAAGTATTATAACAATACAAGAAGTCACTAAAAATAGGGAGAAAAAAAATTTCACCTTTTCGAGTTTTTATCTGTAAGGGCATAAACATTTAAATTGGTTCAATTTATGACAAAATTTTGAAGAAAAAGAAATGACTGCAATTTTTAAAGTTTTATTTATTATTACATTTATATATAAATATGTTCACAACAAAATAAAGTTTCATTTTTAAAAACAATGCATCTTATACGGTACCATCAATTTGGATGCAAATATCACATTTGATCTAAAAATAAATATTTAATGTACATTTTTGTATTTGAATATTTAAAGTAAGTATTTTATTCTATTTGAAATAATTAAAATAAATATTATTACCCATCATATACCCAAAAAAAGTTATATTTTATTACATATTATATACCCAAAAAAACAATTAAAATATATTTTATTACCCATTTAACTTTTTTTTGATTTTTTTTTAGTTTTTTGACCAATTTCGCTTCCACAAATGCGACACAAACTATTCTGCCAACTTTTCTGACCTATTGATTTAATTTTTCATCATTTTTTTTTTGTCTTTTTTAGAGATATCATTTAACATTGAAGTAGTATAAACATTTTCAGTTCACAAACCATCCTTTATCTCTCTTTCTATATGCATTAACTTCTACATGTGGAAAGAAACGCACCAATACTTCTCCATTTGTATAACTTTCAGCAAACTAAAATATGTAAGCTTATATATATATATATATATATATATATATATATATATATATATATATATATATATATATATATATATATATATATATATATATATATATATATATATATATATATATATATATATCCATTACAGTTAAGACTCTTAAAGTTATTTTAAGGCAGAATACTCCAAATGTTATACCTTCAGTTTGTATGGCATGTGGTAATGTTAATATTTCAAACTTTTCTGAAACACCATATCTTTGTTGTAAGTAACAACTACTGTATAATAGTAAAAAATTATAAAAGATGTAAATACAAATTTTGACATAGGTATATCTAATAATAATATCATACTTCCATTATCTAATAATAATATCATACTTCCATAGGTGCATATATTCACTTCTTCTTTTTTGATGGAATTTATCTGTTCTCCCATAGGATCCATAGAGTGAATTGTTTTATTACCTGGTTTGATTATCTAAAACACAAGTGAGTTTCAAAATCAGGTTCAAAGTTAGGTTCCCTGTAAAAAAATGGGGAACCTAACCTTTCACTGAAAGTTAAGCTTTTTGTACTTAGAGAAATAAACTTTTTCAAAAAACAATTATACTATTTTACACACTGCATTTTTCCACCATACAGCATATTAGCATATCTTGTTTAAAGACCTCTTTCTATGAAGATATGTATATATGTATATATACATATATATATATATATATATATATATATATATATATATATATATATATATATATATATATATATATATATATATATATATATATATATATATATGTATATATAAATATATATATATGTATATATATATATGTATACATATATATATATATATTTGTGTGTGTGTGTGTGTGTGTGTGTGTGTGTGTGTGTGTGTGTGTGTGTGTGTGTGTGTGTGTGTGTGTGTGTGTGTGGGTGTGAAATACTTTATAATTAAATTAATAAATCATTAATTTTTTTTAGATAAAAGTTTTTGAATACCTTATGCCGTCTTTGTATTAAATCAGTTTTAATTTGCAATTCATCCAGTGAGCGTAGCCCAGCTGGCTACAGTACTTCGACTCGATTCTTCAAAGCATCAATAAATGGAATGGCATTCAATATATTGTTTTATATTTAGAATTAAAATTTTATTTAAATAAAGACAAATTAAAAAAAAAAATGCGTTATTGTTTTTTTGTACAATAATTTTATTATAAAGTACATTAATTAATTATACTTTTTCTTTACTGTTTACTAATATTTTGAGATAAATATTAACAACTTCGTCACTGAGACATTCGTTTAAAGTGTCTTGTAACGAATAATCGTGTACCTTGCAGTCACCTAAATCTGGATGTATACCCAGAATGACTTTTACAGGGTTTTTTAATATGAATACATTTTATTATTCGTAACCTATTCATGAAATGCAATTTAAGGATAATTTCATCAAAATTTAAGCATAAGCCTTTCTTCTAATAAAATAACGACTATTACATTTATTGAAGATTACATGTTTTAAAACTCTACACATTTTTTCACCAGGTTGGATAATGTTTAAATTGATTATTTAAATAGGTTTACATAAAAATCTTTATTACAATAAAAAGGTAACGCTAAAAAAATGTAAAAGTGATTTATTATTATATACCTTCACTGTCTTTAGCTGCAAAGATTTTTATAATTATCTGCCTCCTCTAGAAAATAAATTATAAATAAAATAAAACGCTAACAATTACAAATGAATTAGTAAGTTTTAAATTCATACCTTCACTATTATTAACTTCAAAGCTTTTTGTTGGTGTCTCTGCCTTCTCTTGAAAATAACCATAAAATAAAATAATGAAAAAATATATGTTTTAACAATAAATTAAAATAAGAAAACGAATATTTTACCCGAGTATAAATCAAAAAACAATAAAAATTGTTTTCATATTAGTATTACCTGTAGAAAGTTAAACAAATATTAGGTTTGAAGAAAAAATAAAATATTTTATAAATAGAATGAAAACTTCATTGAAGTAACAGGTATATCAGTAACTTCTACAGAGTAACAATATTAAAAAAAAAAACATTTCTCTTCTCAGCGTTTTTTAAAGACGTTTAAAGACCTGTATTAGGCGTAATAAAATTTAGACGCCTTTGAATAGCTATGGCTTTCTGAGACAAGTGTCTGACAAAGATGTCTTTTAAACTAAAATAAGTGAACATAAACTCTCAACCTCAACTAATATATTTAAAAATATAATGTAACTTCACTTTGTTTTAGCTCATTCTTTTTCTAGCGCTTATCTTTCTTTAAACCTTTTAATTTTCTAAACTGATCAAAACGAGCTTCTTGATTCACAAAAAAGTTATGCCAAATATTGTGCGGCCGTGGCGCAGTGGTTAGATCATATGCTTTATAAGCAGGAGATCCAGGTTCAAAACGAGCTTTGGACATATTTCGCGTCATGGTAAGGAAGGAGGCGTGAACTTCCTGGTTAAATGCACTTCCGCGGTGCTCTGTGACAAGACCGTTAGGACTTCTTAGGGTACCTAAATAACAAATTTAAAAAAAAAAAAAATTATAAATAAGGACAATTTTGTGTAGATTTTTTGTTATGTTTATTATGTCTACGCGTTGGCACCGGACTCGTTGAATAAAAATTTAATCAATCTTTATTATAACAATTAACATAGTCAGTTTTGTTACCTAATTCAATCATTTAAATTAAGCCACTACGCTTTCGTCTTTTTTTCAAACTTGTTGAATTCAACGCTATAAATCTGTCATTATAAGGATGATTATTATTTCTTAGTGAAATCTTCTTCGAACTATCCTGCACTTTAGCATTTGTGTCATTAAGAAAATAGGAAAACCTAACAAAAGCAGAATATTCTTAGTGTGGAAGAATAATACTTGCTCAATAGTATTTTTTTTCAAAATTTTTATTTTTACAAAAATGTTGTGTTAACATTTGATAGAATATATATATATATATATATATATATATATATATACAACAACATATATATATATATATATATATATATATATATACAACAAACCGTTAAAGAATAATGTACTTTGTCTTTTACAGTACATTATTCTTTATCATTTCAGTTCAGTATGATATTGGATGATTCTAATACATGAAATACATGATTTTATAATTTATTGTAATAAATATAAGTTAATTTTTTAACTGCCACTTTTAAAAATTTGTATAATTTTAATAATTGTGAACTGGACTAAATATTATTAACTCGCCTCAACAGGCTCAATAATCACATTATATTTCCATGCCAAGCCACCCAAAGAAACGTTAATATTTAAAAATAGTTCTTTAAAATGTTCCTTTATTAAGAAAAGAAGTTTCTATTATTCAAAAAAAGTATCTAAAGAATTTATAACCTTCCCAAAACATTACGCCTAAGCCACCATAGGTGGACGTAATGGAGAAAAATTTTAAATTATGCAATAGAATGAAAAAAGACAAACCGTAATTATTTATTTTCCTTCAAAACGTTTTGTACATTAAAATATTTATGTTGTAAGATATGAATACATTTAGAGTAAAAAATTATTGTTATTAATTTCGTTCATTTTAAATCTTATGAAAACTTTAATTCCACCAAAGTTTTATATATGACTTCGTTGAACAATGTCGCATGTTTAAATTGTTAGCTCAATCGTATCTAAAAAAAAAAATAAAATATTAAATTAAAACTTTAAAAAGCTAAAAAACACTTTAAATATTAAAGTTTCTTGATTTTATTAAAAGTTCTTTAATTTTTTTTTAATTCTTTAATTAAATATATAAATTTATTATAAAGATCTCCCCATCAGAGGAGGACCCAAGAAACAAAAAATAGCTAACAATATTTGAGATAGATATCTTACTTAAATTACACATCAACCCTATGCAGGCGTCTAAAATATTATTATTATCCCACTAAGGAATTCTTTACAATATTTTAAACAATTAGTATTTTGTGTTTTAAATATCAGATTCCTCTCTTAAAAATTCTGTGTGTATCACAACAAGAAACAAAAAATTTTACATAAAATATCACATCCCCCCTTTGTATACTTTTAAAATATTACATCCCCCTAAGTAATTCTTTACAATATTTCATTAGGTATCAAATACTAATCAATGATTAGTATTTAGTACCTAGAATATAACATTCCCCCTATTTATTCTCTATAAATGTCACAAAATAAAACTGAAATTCTTACTTAAATTACACATCCACCCTATTCAGGCGTCTAAAATATTACATCCCACTAAGCAATTCATAAAATAATTCAAACAATAAGTATTCGGTAACTAGACTATAACATCCATCACTTGTAATTTCTGTATAAATAACATAAAGAAACTGAAATTCTTTCTTAAAATATCACATCCCAACTATGTCTACTTCTAAAATATTACATCTCCCAAAGTACTTCTTTACAATATTACAATATTTCATTTAAAAGTTCTGTATATACCACAAAAAGAAACTTAAATTCTTATAATATCACATGCCCTCTATGTTTATCTTTAAAATATTACATCCCCCTAAGTAATTCATAAAATTTTTCAAATAAGTAGTAACTGCTATCTTGAATATCACATTCAACACTTGTAAATTATGTTTGTACCACAAAAAGTAACTGAAGTTCTTACTTAAAATATCACATCTCCCCTATGTATACTTCTAAAATATTAGATCCCCCTAATTATTTTTCTACAATATTTCAAGCAATTCATATTTGATATTCAAAATATTACATCTCCCCTGTGGAATCTCTGCATATGTCACAAAAAGAAATTGAAATTCTTATTTAAAACATCACATCCCTTCTATGTTTACCTTTAAAACATTACATCCCCTAAGTAATTCATACAATATTTCAAACAATTAATATTTGCTATTTAAAATATCACATCCCCTCTATGTTTACCTTTAAAATATTAGGTCCCCCTAAGTAATTCATACAATATTTCAAACGATTAGTAAATGGTATCTAGAATATCACATCTCCTTGGTTTATTCATTGTATATGTCACAAAAAAAACTGAAGTTCATGCTTAAAATATCACACCCCGCCTATGTATACTTCTAAAATATTATATCCCCCAAAGTAATTCATACAATATTTCAAACGATTGCTATTTGGTACCAAGAATATCACATCCATCACTTGTAAGTTCTGTATGTACCACAAAAAGTAACTGAAGTTCTTACTTAAAATATCACATCCCCCCTATGTATACTTTTAAAATATTACATCCCCCTAAGTAATTCATACAATATTTCAATTGATTAGTATTTGATACCTAGAATATCACATCCCCCTGTAGATTCTATGTATATGTCACAAAAAGAAACTGAACTTCTTACTTAAAATATCACATCCCCCCTACGTATACTTCTAAAAGATTATATCCCCCAAAGTAATTCATACAATATTTCAAACGATTGCTATTTGGTACCAAAAATATCACATCCATCACTTGTAAGTTCTGTATGTACCACAAAAAGTAACTGAAGTTCTTACTTAAAATATCACATCCCCCCTATGTATACTTTTAAAATATTACATCCCCCTAAGTAATTCATACAATATTTCAATTGATTAGTATTTGATACCTAGAATATCACATCCCCCTGTAGATTCTATGTATATGTCACAAAAAGAAACTGAACTTCTTACTTAAAATATCACATCCCCCCTACGTATACTTCTAAAAGATTATATCCCCCAAAGTAATTCATACAATATTTCAAACGATTGCTATTTGATACCAAGAATATCACATCCATCACTTGTAAGTTCTGTATGTACCACAAAAAGTAACTGAAGTTCTTACTTAAAATATCACATCCCCCCTATGTATACTTTTAAAATATTACATCCCCCTAAGTAATTCATACAATATTTCAATTGATTAGTATTTGATACCTAGAATATCACATCCCCCTGTAGATTCTATGTATATGTCACAAAAAGAAACTGAACTTCTTACTTAAAATATCACATCCCCCCTATGTATACTTCTAAAAGATTATATCCCCCAAAGTAATTCATACAATATTTCAAACGATTGCTATTTGGTACCAAGAATATCACATCCATCACTTGTAAGTTCTGTATGTACCACAAAAAGAAACTGAAGTTCTTACTTAAAATATCACATCCCCCCTATGTATACTTTTAAAATATTACATCCCCCTAAGTAATTCATACAATATTTCAATTGATTAGTATTTGATACCTAGAATATCACATCCCCCTGTAGATTCTATGTATATGTCACAAAAAAAAACTGAACTTCTTACTTAAAATATCACATCCCCCCTAATGAATACTTCTAAAATATTACATCCCCCTAAATAATTCATACAATATTTCAAACGATTGGTATTTGGTACCTAGAATATCACATCCATCACTTGTAAGTTCTGTATGTACCACAAAAAGAAACTTAAATTCTTACTTAAAATGTCATATCCCCTCTATGTTTACCTTTGAAGTAATACATCCAATATTTCAAACGATTAGAATTTAGTATCTAGAATATCACATCCCCTCGGTTTATTTGCTATATATGTCACAAAAAGAAACTGAAATTCTTACTAAAAGTATTACATCCCTTCTAAGTTTACCTTTAAAATATTACATCCCCTAAAGTATTTCATACAATATTTCAAACAATTAATATTTGCTATTTAAAATATCACATCCCCGCTATGTTTACCTTTAAATTATTACATCCCCCTAAGTAATTCATACAATATTTCAAACAATTAGTATTTGGTATCTAGAATATCACATATCCTCGGTTTATTCACTGTATATGTCACAAAAAGAAACTTTAAATCTTTACTTCAAATATCACATCTCCCCTATGTTTATCTCTAAAATATTACATCCCCCTAAGTAATTCATAAAACATTTCAAATGGTTAGTATTTAGTGTTTAAAATATAAGATTTATCACTTGTAAATTCTGTATGCACCACAAAAAGAAACTGAAATTCTTACTTAAAATATCACATCCCCTCTATGTTTACCTTTAAAATATTACATCCCCCTAAGTAATTCATACAATATTTCAAACAATTAGTATTTGGTATATAGAATATAACATCCACCACTTGTTATTTCTGTATATGTCACAAAAAGAAACTAGAATTCTTGCTTAAAATATCACATCCCCCCTATGCAGGCTTCTAAAATATTGCAAACGATTGTTATTTTTATTACATAAAGTATCCCTAATGTGTAATCTTCTTCTACGCTATTGTCACACAATACATTACGATCAAAATATTATAAATAAGAATTTAAAATATATTACCATTTTATGCTAACTTCATTTATAGTATATTAGTAAAAAAACGTTTTTATTAATTATATTGTTTATAATTGAATGTTTCGGACGTATTTGATTCACTTCTAAGTGCAATGACTCGAAAGCGCGTTCTCGTTTTCATTTTTTCTATGGGGGATGTAATATTTTAGGCGGATGTGATATTTTATTACAGTTTCCGCCATGTTTTATTTTATTAATTTTATTAAACATTGAATTTTAAATGTTTTTATGTTTGAAAGAATACCACTTATCCAACTCAAATTCAACCATCTACAAATTCATAAAATGGATTTGAAAATTCCATTTCTATTTCAATTTATGAAATGGAATGAATTTGAAATAGATGTTAAGGATTTAGATACTAAATGTTACATATTGGCTAAACGTTTTGTCCTATTCGTTTTCTCTTTTGAAAATAGATCTTATATTTTTGCAGAAAATGTGGCTTTACATTCAAAAAATGAAATTATTTTTGATAACGATTTTTAATAGATTTACAGCAGATTTTTTTAAAATTGTCATTTGTTATGGGGTAATGTTTCTAGAAGAGACCGAAAAACAAATTTCAATGCACCCAATCTATCATTTAAATTATTTAGAGATAAATATTTTTACAAGGTAACTTTCTGAGTTTTGACTACTTTATTTAGAGTTGTAAATATGAAAAATGTGGTTAAAAAAATATATATATAATAAGTCAAGACTCTTGCTAATTACACAAGAGTCCTGGCTTATTATAAGATATTTATTTATTTAAACTAGAATTGTTTCTTTTGTGAAATTCTACATTAAGTAATTGACCAAGTAATTTTTTTAATTGAATTTTTTAATAAAAACCTTTAATTCTTATTTAGTATAGTTGGAAAACATTTAAAAGTTGTTTCTTATGCCTAATAATAAATTTTCAAAGCATTTTCAGCGGGCTTATTAATTATCAGCCAACTATTGTGCCCAATAAGCAGCAATTATTTTTAAAATTTTTAAGTCAACTAATTATTTATGAACTAAATTCTTTTTTATGTAGTTAATGCAATGTCAGTTATGTATGCAATTTTATTTGCCAATGAAAAACCTTTTTCCTGAAGTATACAACACAAATTAAATTTATTTATATGCTGAGTCTTCAAATGAATCTTCATAAAAATCAAATATTTTGTAAAATTTAACTCTAAAATGTTGCAATACTGTATTACAACTGAATAAATTTTTTAGTTTCAATTGTTTGATGCGTTTAGTAAAGTTGACTAATGCAGATCATTCAATACTAGTTTTAACAATTATGGGTAAAAAATATTGTTTACTATAACAGATGTTTTTAAATTGATATGTTTTATAATTTTTATATTTTTGAGCTACATAAAGCTACAAACACTTAATCTCTCATCTCGAATCTCATAACCTACTTTCTCATCATCAATTTGGATTTCGATCTTCTTGTTCTACAACTGATTTGCTGTCAGTAATAACCAATTGGTTTTATCGCACATAAAATAAAGGTGGAGAGGTTAAGGCCATTACTCTTGACATTTCTAAAGTGTTTGATAAAGTTTAGCATGATGGTCTTCTCCATAAGCTTTCTTCTTATGGTGTATCTGGAAACATCTTTAAGATTATTGAATCCTTCCTTTCCAATCGTAGTAGAAAAGTTGTCCTTGATGGACAGCACTCTTCTTTTTATTCTGTAACCTCAGAGGTTCCTCAAGGTTCTCAACCCTTGGCCCTATACTCTTTTTAATTTACATTAACAATCTTCCAGATATTCTCACATCTAAGGTGGCATTGTTCGCTGATAATACTACCATTTATTCTTGTCACGATAAGAAGCCAACTCCCTCTAATTGCTTGTAGGGGGTATCTGAGCTTGAAAAGGATCTCACTTCTGCTACAGCATGGGGCTCACTGGCTGGTGAACTTTAATTCAGATAAAACTTTTTTTTAGCCAATCGTTATCGCAATAATTTAGACCTTCCTATATTTATGAACGGTAATGAATACTGTTGCCATATCTACGTACCACGATACCAAAAAAATTAGTAGCTTCCTCGACTGTAGTGGCCCCCTTGGGCTTTGAGGAGGTAATTAATTAAAAAATAAATATATCTGGGGTGGATCTTCTTATGACGCCCTTTCTCTTTTAGACAAGGTGCAAAAAGGCATTTTAAACATAGTTGGACTTGCTCTTGCAGCCAACCTTCAACCTCTGTCACATCGTCATAATGTTGCTTCTCTTTCTCTTTTCTACAATTACTATAATGGGCACTGCTCTAAAGAGCTAGCGTCTCTTGTGCCATCTACTAAAATTCATTCTCGTGTTACACGTCATTCAATTAAGTCTCATCCTTTTTCTGTTACTGTTCCTAAGTGCTCCAAAAACTTTTACTCGTCTAGTTTTTTTCCTCGAACATCAGTTATTTGGAATTCGCTTCCTTCATCTTGCTTTCCTGATTCATATAATTTGCAATCTTTTAAAGTGTCTGTCAAGCGTTGTCTTGCTCTACAATCTTCATCTTTTCTCTTCCAGTAACTTCTAACACTAATTAGTGGTTGCTTGCAGCTTTGTTGGAAGCGAAGATGTTTTAAAAAAATAAATAAAAAACAACAACTAATATATATATATATATATATATATATATATATATATATATATATATATATATATATATATATATATAAATATATATATATAAATATATATATATATATATATATATATATATATATATATATATATATATATATATATATATATATATATATATATATATATATATATATATATATATATATATATATATATATATATATATATTAGGGTGGGTCTTAAATTTTTTTTTAGAGTTGCTAACCTGCCTATGGTCTAGAAAATTGTTTTTTTATGTACTAGTTTAGGAATGTATTTATTTTTATGGATTGAGCAATGTCTTCCACCCGCAACTATAATTACAAAAATTAGCAGGCCCTATTATTGTTCAAAAAAATTTTTTTTTTAATTATGTGATGTAGGTACTCAAATAAAGCAAAATTTTATAAAAGTTTCAAAAATAATAATTTTTTTATATAAAAATTATTGTTTTAGATTTTATTGCATAACAACTATTGATTTTTAACTAAAAGTGAAAAAGGTGCATTTTTACATATTTTTAAATAACAATTTTTTTTCGCAATATAATTTTTATAAAACGATTATTATTTTTGAATTTTTAAAAAAATTTCGCTACTTTTGAGTACCAGGTTGACCTACTTTTGAAAAACTTTTTTTCAATAAAATATAAGGGTACCGTTTATTTTCCCAATAAAGTTGTGCCCTTTAAATCTATCACAATCATTCTCATATTTGATAGTATCAATATTAATAACTATTAGCAATGTTTAGAGCCTGTAACAAGAGAAAAAAATTTTATGACCCACCCGAATATATATTTATATATATATATATATATATATATATATATATATATATATATATATATATATATATATATATATATATATATATATATATACATATATAAATATATGTATATATATATATATATGTATATATATATATATATATATATATATATATATATATATATATATATATATATATATATATATATATATATGTGTATATATATATATATATATATATATATATATATATATATATATATATATATATATATATATATATATATATATATTTATATATCTTTAGGAAATATAAAAGAGATGTTATTAACTTTTTGAAAAAATTAATGTTTTTTCTCTTTTTCTTAAGCATTCTCAAATATTGCAGTTAGTTCATATCTAAATGAAAACATACAAATAGCTGTTATTGGATGGTCAAAAATATCATCTTGGTCTGTTTTAGCTGGGTTTGGTCACTTTACTTCATCAAGCATATTCAATACATCAGATTTTAAAGTATCACAATCTGGGATATACCAAGTGTTTACTACAATAACTTTTTCTGGTGCTCAAAATGGTGTTTTTAAAGTAGCATTAGTTAGTAATAATGACTTAGTTAACAGTCACCCTGGCCTTTCCAGCTCTTTTCAAGATTCAGTTGGATACAAAAGTTTATCAGTATATGGAACAACTCGCTTGTTCTCTGGTGATGTTGTATCAGTTTATGTATTTTCTGAGTTAGACCAAAGTTGGATAATTCGGGGAGGTTCTGAATCAACATTTTGTATACAATTTGTTAGCTTTTACAACCAAGCTCCTGGTTTTTCTTCATATTTGACTCAAGAATATTACATAGAAAACAATGATTGGAATAGTATTTTAAAATGGAATGCTAAAGATAAGCCTGGCTTGTTTAAGAGCAGAACTGGGTTTTCTCAAGATGTTGGAAAGTTTGTATCTATTTGTGATGGTATTTATCAGTTTTCAGCAAATATTCTAATTTCTGCTTCTAAGAGTGGTCATTATGATATTGGTATTCTATTAAATGGGGTACCAGATGGTAGCATTACTGGAGCTGATATTGGGTCAGATCCACAGAGTTTGTTATTTTCTCTTAGTATGTCTATATCATTAAAGTTAAGTATCGGAGATTCAGTGGTCATCGTAAGCAGAGGCACAGAGAGCTATATTGTTAAAATGCAAAGTGGCTTTTTTGGAATATTGGTAAATGAAGGTGAATCAACACCAGGTAATTTTTTTTTCGATTTTTAAACATGATGTTGGCAGGTGCACACCCAAAACATGCATACATTTACTCTTATATATGATCTTGTTTAATTGAAGTCAACTATTTGTATCATGTAACTTAAAGACTTTCTTAAATATTACTTTGATCATTATTTATTGATAATTCTATTACAAGTAGGAGAATCACTTAACTTGTTGCATAAATCAACTATGAGGATCTCATAGGTGATTGATGTAAAAGTATTGCACTAAAATTATTAACTGATAATACAATGTTATTAAATCATAACTTATAAAAATCTTATGTAACAACTTTATAAAGTTTTTATATTATGGTAATTAATGTGTTTACATATAATGTCTTTTTTCATAACATATTTTTTATGTTTTAATTGTTCTTATATATTAAAAATGTACTTTTTCATAACATAAATTTTATGTTTCAATTGTTCTTATATATTACAAATGCACTATATTACAAATGCACAGGAATTTCAAGTATACTTACAGCGCCAATTGATATATGCATGTTTGCTATAATGTTTGCACTTCTGCAGATTTTAGTTGGTTTTTTCTTAATATATTTTGCACACTTAAGTTTTTAAAAGGCAAGGCAGGTT